TTAAAAGAAACTACAGCCTTTTATTAGTAGATAGATAGTTTAAAGTGGTAAGCTCTTATCATGGTAAAGTTAAGACGCTTGATTTTTTTCTTGTGAAATATTTAAATACGCAAGATTTACTTTTCTGCTTAATTAAAGCATGATTCAACTAGCGAGATTTAATTCAGTTAGATTGAACTGACTCATCAAACAGGGTTTTTGCATCACAATATCCTCTGAACACAACAGACGTAGGCAGATTCATCTTTTGTAAAATTCTTGCCTATTGCGAGGTCATGGAATGAATAGTAAAACGGGAATTGTCGGTTTTTAACTTTCATTTTAAAGGACCAAATTGTCTATTTGTGTAATGGATGTTAAACACAAATCACTATTTAGGTTCTCTTTACTAGCAGGTGTTAAGAGGTATCTTCTGTATCATTGTTACTATACAGCTGTTTTTCCTGTAAGTAAGAGTTATGCAATTGGCTGTTTCTAAGTAGCTTGGTATGGTGGGTTATCGTACAAACAGTCTTTGCATTATTATAGTCCTTCAGATCTGTTAAATTAGATGCATTTTAGGACACATTTAAAAGACAAAAGTTGAGTGCATGGGCCGATGCGACCAAGATGCCATGTTTTCCCACCCACTCCCTCCTCTGCTCAATATTTTGGGTTACAATTAAGGATTGTCGCTATAACAAATTACTAAGATTTTGCGGCAACTAACTGTTGCCGTATTGGAATGGCTAGATATGAACATACAACAGCTTTCTCACGCCAGCATTTTATTATATTTTACTGTTGGATATTTCCTAGTGGGTCCTCTTGTATGCACTGCACTTATTTTTTTTTATAAACCGGTAGCATCTTTCCACGTCTGTTTTGGTTACTTTATGTCTTGGATCCTAGATGAGCTTATTCAGGGCATCACGTTTCTTCAGTTTTCCATAGTAGGGCCCAGTTGCGATTAAATTGTTGGTCGTATTTTCATTCTCGAACGCCTCAAGTGCATGAAACCAAAATCTGCTAGAAATTAACCAATCGGAATGGAAACAACACTATCATGAATTTTCCTTTGATCTAAGTAATTTTTGAAAGTGATGTTTTGTGCTGGTGTTTTGTCAAATTCGTCAGGAACATATCTGTATGTTATCAATTACAGCTTGCAATCATTTAGATTATGTAAAAGGCCCGTGGAATTAATAAGGGCCGTTAAACTTTGAGACTCGGGTAAGTCTGACAAGTCATGTAATCTACGGCGGTTTGTAGATCGTGAAAATGTTAGTAACGTGGAAAAATACCGAAATGGACATAGCTATGCTAGCATTCAATACTTCTACATGGACATGAATGGCATAAACATCCGTATATATTGAAAAACTTGGATTTTGGAGCAACATACTAGTTACTTGTTTAGTTTTTGCTGGTTATTTCTGGGTTAAAAGTATAATGAAATGGCCAAGTTTTAAACAGCAAATATCTCAACCATAATTTCGCACAAAACCTGAGTGTCTGTTAGTAATGTCCACCCATTAGATATCTTGTTAGAATGTCTATCTTTTGAATGTCAAAGCGATTAGTTAAATGGGCACAAGGTTTGGGATGAAGTTAAATTAACAAAATGACGTCAACAGTAAAATAAACGAATAAGGAACGTTTTTAATTTTTTTTTTAGAAACCAATTGTTTCTATCTTAAAGTTCTTTTTCCAGTGCATCGTTGTTTTATTCCAACGTGCGGGTTATAGAAATCGGATTATTTGCTAGGTTCGATTGGGAAGCAACTCATTGATTTAATTGCCGCTAGATCTTGTTTAATTTCCACAATCATCTTTTGGAAAATTTGGGTCGAGTGACCTTTCAGTTCCCTGAAATGCAGTTCCAACCAATTCACTCTCTTCATTACATTTCAGAAAATTCCTCTCCATCGCCTACTCCGCTGATGGCCAACATCTCTTGGCTGCTGGTGACTCGAAGTTTGTCTGTCTCTACTCAGTGTCTGAGCGCCTTTTGGTGAAGCGCTTTGAACTAACCGTCAATCTTTCTCTGGAGGGTGTACAGGAAGCGCATGATCGGCGTCGCTACCTCGCCACCTTTGGTGCAGAGGCTGCGGCAGCTCGTGCTGACCACCGCGACGCTCTGCTACTTCCTGGCGTCCGTTCCGGCGACGATCATTGTCGTCGCTGGTGGCGTCCTGACGTCCGTGTTGCATCGGTCAGTTTTGCTCCCACCGGTAGGTCTCCATCAGATATCTATCTTTTAAGTGGACATAAGCGGTTTGGCACTTAAAACGTCTCAGTGCCATCATGATTGTAGGCTTGAAGGCAGAATTTTTCCAATTTATTAAGATTGGGTTTAGATAAGCTACTTTAGCCTGTCGTTTTGTTTCAGGCAGGTGGATGCTCCATAAATTTTGTTAACTAAGTTTTTCCTAAAGTAGTTCTTTTGCTGACTTGCTGCAAAACTTATGCAAACCACTCAGGCTGATGCCAATGACACAGTCATATGAACGGCTTGTTCGATATACTTTGCTGTCTAAAAGGCACGCCTCCTACTTGGTCAAGGCCTTCGTGAAGTTAAGTCGGCAATTTTGTTAAGCCTTTTGTCGAACTAGGTTTATTTCACGGAAAATGTCACACTTTCCACATCTTAAAAGTTTGTGATACAGTAAACTGGCAGAAAACAATATTCCAAGCTTGTCTTTCATTTAACACGAGCTCTTCGGTAGGTTTTTTAAGGCTAAAGGATATACCAGGCACCAAAACTATTAATGGTGATGTGGTGGGGTTACCTTGTTTATTTCTCCCTGAGATCAGGGAGAATTCTAAGTTGAGTTCATCAAAATGCCAGTTTTCTGAATTGCACCTTTCCTTCAGGTCGTATTATTACCTTCAGCAGGGGTCTGTGAAGTGTGGCCTTAAGCGGTCTCTAGAATTGGACTTGCAAGGGCTGTGATGCATCACGACGATATGCAGTTGTTTGATGTGGGTCATTACTAAAACTGCATCACCACACTCGGAAATAGGTGCATAGCTGCCAAAGTTCAAAATTTAATTTTGCCTTTTAGTAGTTTGGTTTAAAAAACCCAAATTAAAAAGATGAAAAATGATGTTCAAAAAATCTAGCTTTTGTATGTCGTATTCCCGATTCTCCCAAAGCGCAGAGTAGCATAGGATCTATTGTTTCCACGAGAAGAATTTACTTCTTGCTCCTTTGCTGCTTCATATGCTGCATTTGAAAACGATAAGATGTGCTTAATTGGGGCTGCAATTAATGACTTTCCCCTTCCGAAACGGTTACTGTATCCTCTTTTGCTGGTTTGTATTAATATACTATGTATTGTCTTTGTATTTTACGGATCCCTTGGCCATATGCGGAGCTGGAGGTGCGAATGAAGTGACAAAAACAATCCTAATAGAGCCATTGCCTGAAGAAATGCTGTCTTTTTTAGGAGTGCACGTTTATTTAGTAAATTCCAATAGAATGTCCCAGGTCCCCCTGCGCTTTCTAAGTTCGGTTATGAAGGAGTTGAGTGACGTTTCCGAAGGCGCACAGTACACCTCTGAGCTTTAGGGTTCCCTCTGCTTATGTTGTCATCTCTTATTTCACTTTCACAAAACTTCTAGGGAAATTGTGTTTGCATAAGCCTGCTAGTTTACGCATCGAGCTGTCTTTTTCTGAATTCTACACGTAATATTCTTTACTACTTGTTAAAATATCATGATTTATTAAGCATTTGCTCTTTTCTCATTTAGTGTTATGCAATTATTCGGTAGTTGGCCACAGTTGCTCAATTTGCGTGCTAATGTAGTGAATCAGATGAGTACCTGATAATATTTAAGAAAAATTCTCACTGATGAAGCATGTCTCTTTGACGGAAGCATCAACAAACATGCTTCGTGCATTTATTCAATGAACTCAATAAATTGGTTTCCTCTAGAGGAGGAAGCACCCTGACAAGGTCTTTCCGAGAAATCAAAAGTGACAACCTTCTGAAGTACACTTCGCTAATCGCCAAACACGCCTTCCACAAATTTTGGATTAGTGGGGTTTAATGAGTTCTTTAAAGTGTTTTTTTTTTGGAAAGGCATATGTAATTTCAACGTGAAACCCCATATAAAGGCGAAATTCCGAGTTTCCATTGCTTGGAATAGAGTTTTTGGAAGTTTCTGCACCTGCTTAACTGGAATATACTTCGGATACGATTGAAATGAGAATTTGCATCTCGGCCAACCCTAACTGTGCTTACTTCCTGGGTTCACAATGGTGGCCCCAACGCAAATTAAGAAGGATATCACAGATAGTTGCTTGTTGCATATGATCAGTACAAAATCCAATTTCAGCCTTCTTTTTTTGTTTTTTGGGAGCATTTTAATTTCACTGAACCAGGATGAGCTGGCGGCTGGATTCGATTAAGCAGTGCATGGGGCTGCCATAGCTTCTCTTGAGTAGGCGGGTGTCCCATAACTATACAGTAATGCGGTTGTTAGTCTATTTTGTTTAGTGCTAAACGTTTACAGAACGGCTATTCCTCAAGGTGTTCTGATAGTGTCTTTGGAGGAGATTGTCTGAAGAGTTGATAGTTAACTCACTTTAAAATAGTGGTGGGAGCGTTTGGTACGAGAACATACCGAGAAAAGTGCCTCAGTGGTGGTTTGCGCCAAGTATTGCCTCCTTACGTAGCGCTTATTGTTTCTTTGAGGAAAAGTCTATTCGGGAAGGCTATTATTATTGGACTAGAGGTTATTGCGATTATCATTGCAGAATGTAATTGTTCCGATCTTTAAATAGTACGTTCGAGAACGTTCGCATTGGACTTGGAAACAAAAAGGACTCAGGCCTCTGTCACAACATAAGTAGGCACTGACAAATCATTTGATGTTTCGAGTCTTCTGGATTCTGTCAAATCAGAGAGACCTGTGTTTTCGTTTAACCAAATCTTTCAGGATTATTCACATCAGATTTTACTGTGCTCTACTGTGAACTTGTGATAAATATCACTTAAATCAGGAATTAAGTATATAGTTTGTATAGAGTGCTTTTGAAGGTGGTGAAGTTAGATTTTATCCTATTCTATGGAATACTTGGAATTTGCACTTTCGCTTTCGGTTATTCTTGTTATTGAAATCACTTTTCAAGAGTGGTTGAGATGTGAGATCTTTATTCTCAAAGCCATTAACAACTGAGCTAACGCTACACTGTCCACACTTGTCAAGTCATAAGAATCGATCAATGATAAGGAGTTCTCAGTCTTGAATCTCATTGTTAGTTATGAGAAAATTTTTATTTGCAGACTTTAGCCAGTAAAAGAAGGTTAGAAAACTACATAGTTCGAATTAATGGAACTCAAGGTAGTTGGTCAACATCAACTTTCTTGTATGCGCTTCCACTCGAAATCAGAGTTTTGCAAATGCGAATACACCGATGTTTAATGGAGTGATAGATTGTCTTTTTCCCCGGGGTGTCATCTTATCCAACGTCGCTTAAATGGCGGGCTAGGAACGAGGGATTATTTATCTTGACTACAAATTTTTTGAAATGCTCATTCGTTGTTTTTAGGAGACGCATTTGCAGTGGCGGCTACGGAGGGTGTGTTTGTATACACTTTGGAGAAGGGAGGCCTGGTCAGTGGCCTTCTTGGTGGCGTCTCTAAATGGCTCTTTGACACTATGGCGGTGGATGAGGAGACCACACCGTCCAATGCGAGACTGCAGCTGGCGCAGGGCAACTTCTCTTCGTCACTGGACATGGCCCTACGTTTACAAATGCACAGTCTCATAGAAGAAGTCATTGAAGCCGTACCATATAGTTTGAGTGAGTATCATCCTTCTATTCTCGACTTCGAATCATCTATAATCCGATTTTGTTGATGTACGAAATTGCTGTCTTACCCTTCTCATTTGTGGTTTGTTCAAAGTGCTGATTGACTAGTGTGTCATTCCAAAACATCTATGCCAAACTTTTATCTCCTAGCTTATCTCAACCACTTCATTTTCAAAATCCGCAAATATGAACCTAAATTTGCATTGAAATCGAGAGATTTACTCTATTTAACCCCAAAGTAAATAACTTATTATTTTTATTAAATTGCCTTGTTTGTGAAGTCGCATAGTACCTTGAGTCGAAGATTGGCAAGCAGTTATTTCACACGCTTGCTTGCTGATTTCACTGCATGAATTTGGTGTTCAGTCTCAATATTTCTTGCCTTCTTTCTTCCCCCTTCTGCGGTGTCGTCAAAGATGATTCATTTTTGGTTATTCGGCATTTATCTCTTTCCTCTCCTCCCATCTTACCCTGTTTGCGTTTCGTCTTTTCCAAAAGATGTGTTAAGGAAAAGCGTCCCCTTTCCTTAACACATGTAGTCTACATTCCTCTAAAAAGGGACCTTCACGAAAGTTAAGATTTAGGTGGTTTGTTTTTGACCTCCTACCTTACATCATTAACCAATGTTGCCTTCAGGCAATGCAGTTTATTGGTGATGGCGGCGCCGAGACTTGAGACTTTCATTCCTTTTCCTTTTTGATAGCCGCGTAGCTTCGCGTGGCAATTTCTGCTCAAAATATTTGCCGTTACTTTTATTCGGCATATACAATTAGATCTCTCACTTTTGTTGAAATAATTAGACATTTTGGCCGTTGAGTCCACGGCACTCCTGTTGGACGTCCTTTGCAATGTGTCAGTTTTTAAAATATCGTTTTGTTGTGCTTGAAATTACTGCCATTTGTAAGGTTATCCTCATCGGAATGGAATTGACGAACTGAAACCTTGAGGCATTTGAGCTGACTATCAGAATGCTGCTTGTCATAAGACTGCATTTCATTTTGACTGGTGCAATTTATGTTGTCACCCAGTTGGGTAGCGATAACGGGAAAGACATGAGCGAACCGATCTTTTGTAATTGTGGGTACATCCACACCTGAATTGTAATCGCTTGTCAACTTTTGTTTGTTATGAATTCTTCCTCTCCTTGATTGCACTTTTGCATGTGATCAGCTTCATTGAGGATCAATCCACGTGGTTCACATTTACTAATTTTCTCTTTTCCATCCTTGTCTCTGTTTTTGGAGACATACTATTTGCGCGTCTCTCTTCTCACGTGCTGCCAGCATCCCCACATCGTGTGCTTTTCTTGACAATCTGAAAGGAAATCTGTCTCACGGAAGTCTTGATTTAGACCTTTTAGTGCAATTATGCATTTTTCGAACATGATCAGTCTTAAATTGGCTTGAATTCAATTAAGGATAGAAGGTTTCGTACAGTCTCCGAATTCTCGACTGTTTTTCAGTAGTATCCGATGTAAGCGTAAATACTTACCGTTATTTCATGTTTGTTCTACTAAAAGTGCAGAGGCAATTTTGCCTACAATACATTGATGCAGTCCTGAAGCCTTCCGATAAATGGGCCTTATTAACAGCGTTTTTAATAACGTGTTTAAATTCCTAGACCTTCCTTACCTTATCTCTCCTCACTCTTAGAGTTTCTCCTTTGTCCCAGTCTACATTCTTTCCTCTCAGGCAAACGTATCGGCTGTCAGACATCTCTCTTGTTGTTAATAGCTCCTGGCGGACAAACGTGGGTGTCTAGTGGGTACATATTTCTGGGGCTGTCATTGCCAACAGTGAGTTCTTTAGTTATGCTGTTCCGAAACCAGACGTGCGTAGGGCAAGAGTTGATATTTACTCGTTTCATTCAGTCTAGATGACGTATTGCCTAAAGATGGATTACGCTTGCGATAAGCTTAAATTTGAGTGAAGAAGGTGTCGGTGAATTCGTGTTACCTTTTCACTTACTGGTTAATGCTGAAACCTTGGCCAATTTTTTTGGAAGGGGATTATGAGGGATTTTCAATGCGGTAGGGGTATTTTTGCACCTACTTCTCTGAGCTCGTTATAACTTGTGGATATGGAATAATTTGAACTTTCCTTAAGGCTTGGAGGAATTTCCAAGTCTTACAAAGTCGCATTTACTTTTCATACCTTTGATAATTGATTGTTCGTAATTGTCTTCAATCATATTATATAAACAGAAATAACACAACCCCGATTCCTTCGGGGATCCTTTCTAAATTAATATTGGGTAAGAAGTTTTTATACCTGCCAGGCTTGTAGTGATATCCTTACTTCTTCAATGACATTTGTGTTGAAGCATGTCCGAATTAACTGAAATAGCTGACATATTTGTACGATATGACAACAGGTCTTACTCCTCCCTGGTTCTCTTTCACTTCAGCATTCCAGCCCTTTCAAATGCAGTGTAAAGTTTGCATACATAAATCTTGTCGACTAACCACCTCTTTGACCTCTGCACTACCCGCTGTGCTGAGGAAATTGAATCTGAATCAACATACGAAGTTCAGGACACATTAATGCTAGCTCAAAGTTGTTGCAATGCAAAAAATGAAGATCCTCTTACGGATAGTTTATCAGAAAATTTGGTTTTAAAATCTGTATTCTTATTGATCTTTTCCATTTAACATTTTTTGCAAACTTTCTGAGGATTGATTCATTGTTTGAAATACTGGACTTCAATAACACACATGTTGGTAGTTCAGTACCGTTTTAGCCTTCCTACAGCACTTACATTTCATCCTTATCTCCTCAAGGTGTGAAAGTTTATAAACCTTCTGATCGGTAGTAAGATAATGTGCACTAACTGTGCGACTTCGAACCAAATCTATCAAATGGCCTATAACTGAATCTTACGTCTACGCACCCTCCATATTCTTGAATAAACTCACTTTGGCATCCTATCAAGACAACTTTTTCCTAAAGGAGCGTTTTCTGATGTACAGAACAGCAAGAAGATTTAAACAGAATGCTGATCAGACTATGAAGACTGATCATTTAGTTCACCAACACTTGATTTTCATAACAATAAAAGATCAATTTTTAGAGGAATTCGCGCTGTCTTCATCGGCACAGTATGACTCGTTGACAGCTTAGATTTGCAATAATGCTTCTAACTGATCAAGGTTGCTGGCATGGCTGCGGGAATTATCGTGCCAGTGAACCAGTACACTTTTTATTTCCAACATTATTCATATTCCTTGGAATAGGGAGTCTGAATCAACCCACGGTGCTTGGCAAAAACTGGTTTTGCATTAGTCTGCCATGTCTGTTGCCGTTACGTTAGTGAAAATGAATTTTTTAACGAGGTGTTGGGACTAAGCTGCAACGAACTTGACCATTCATTTGTAAAAAGTCTACTTTTGAAGAAGTCAGATGAAAGTACAGACAACCTTGCTTGATTCATGAGCAGTACGTAGATTTCATAACTTATTTGAACCTACAGAATTTAATGCGGTTCAAGTTGGCACACACTTAAAAAATTAGTGACCTGGATTTGTGAGATCTTTCATGAACTTCCCAAGTTCTCCTATTCCATTGAATCACCGAACGATGATTTTTTAATAACCACCTCAATTCATAACGTGAATGTGTACTCATTAACTGTCCAATGGTCGTTATTATTTGCCTATACCAACCCAATTGTTCCAATATCTTGTATGAGTAGAATGGTAATTTGATGTACAATCGTCCATAAATCACTCAACTGTTATGCTACCAAGCTTCTGTCCGCTATCTCATTGGCTTTGCACGAGGAAATTACTTAGTCGCCAGTCCTCCATTCACTCAAATGTTTTTCCTCAAAACATCGAAGCACACGGAATATCCTGCGCTTCCAATTTAAGTAATGAGTATTTCGTATTCGTAAATACAGATTTTCATATCTATTTTACCAGCACTGTATTTAGCCGACGTTTGCATTCATGTCCACATATGTGGATCACAGATAATTTTGGGGACATATGAACGGCCGGTTGCTGAATCAGCTGCGAATCATCGTATTCTATGCATTAAATTAAATACGAGTCCATTTTCTTACCTCTTGATTTCTAATTTTGGATGACCAAAGCTTTCGGTGCTATTAGGATGTGCGAAATACATTTTCAAAATTTTTTAATGAGTATGCGTTTTTTCCTCCACTCGTGGCTCAGGTTGACACGTTTCCGGATTTTTGATCACCATGCTTGTCTTAACTGAAGCTGAGGGCCGCATGTTTTTTCCTTGACTTGTCCCTACAACTAGCACCGAGAATCTCCGTTAATGAAGCCTTTGACCCGTTATGTGCGAATCACCAAAATATGGTGTCTTGGAACATCCAAATGCTAATCACTTACCAGCTCTATTCAGACTGGTGCTTCGACTCATC